GGGAGAGGAGGGGGGGATGGCTGCAGGGGGCGGGGAAGGAAACTGCCGGAGCAACAACCCTGAGCGACCTCAATAACTTTCAATTTCAAGAGGGAAAGAGAGCTGGAAAAGTACAGGCGTTGCGATTTGGCAGAGACACGGCAAGAGGCGCCTAAGGGGTCCCGGGTCTGTGGTGGAGCATCTCCGGACACTTCCAATACCGCGGGAGAATGAGCCAGGGGAGTGGGGGAGCCACTGTGTGCAGACCGAGCCCCTCGGCAGGGCTGCTCTGAGGAGTAGGAGGTGGGCGCGCGCAGAGGTGGGCGCACTCGCTGCGTCTGTGCGTGGAGGCCAAAGGTCCCGCGGGCGGGCAGGTCCTCTCCCCAAATGTGACTTGTTTCCTCGGCCTGGGTGCGCTCCTCTCTCCTCCGTGGTTCGCCTCAGCGCCCCCAACCTAGATCCTGGCGCCCGCGAGCAGCTCCAGGTCTGGGGCAGATCGCCCCCTGGACAGATCGGTGGAAGCTTCCTGCCTGCCAACTCCTCCTCAGCTTTTCTGAGCGCCTTCTCTGTTGCTTTAACCTTATCCTTTCTTTCAATAAAAAAAGTAACTGCAGTTGAGCGCCAGCGGGTGGTCTGGGGGAAGCTCTGTGAGAGCTACTGGCCGCCTGGGTCCTGAGTTACCTGCCTGGAGGGAAGAGGATCTAGACATTTAAGCGTTTAGGGCTGTCCCTTTGGAAATGCAGTTGGGCTGCGGCTTTCTTCCAAAAAGATCCTTAGCCGCCGCGCTGGAAGATTCCTCCTCCCCTCAGGCAATTCCCTCATAGTTAGTAGTTAACTCATCCAAGCTGGGCTCTGTTTCTCCTTCTCCTAAACCTCTTGAGGGTTCTTGATATGCCTTTTTATTTCTTTTCTAGGAAACTGGGACTAAAAATTGGATAATATTTCCCCAGCCTTGGGAGAGGTGGTGGTCATGATGGCCCACTATCTCTCTCTATTCTGAGAGTAGAGAGGGACAGCTGACAGTGGAGAATAGGCTTTCTTGGCCCACTCGGGGATGGCAGACAGAGAGGGGCAGTGCTTGGGGGGTGCATTTCCTGGGTTAGTGTTAATCAATCAGTAGTAAGCTTCCCAGCTTTTTTTTTCCTCCGGTAGCTCAAGCTTATGAGCTCTTACAAGTACTTCGTCAGTCCCAAACCACTACAGTGATTTTTATTTAGACCTGTGCTGTGTATAGTACCTAAGAGAATGTCCAAGACTACCCTCTACATTACACAATAACATAACTTTGGAAGATTACTCTGGAAACGTTTCTAATTTATAGAGATCTTGTCAAGTCTTATGCCCAAATAATTTAGAGTTTGAACAATATAAAGCCTTGTAGTAAACAAGTCTAATTTATATATATCTCCTCCAACTCCCATCGCTATTTATAATCCCTTTTATTGGTTAGACTTCTTGGATAGTCTTCAATTTATGTGTAGATAAATAAAAGGAGATGAAAAAGAGGGGGTGAGGAAAAGATTTCACTCCATCCATTCCATTTTACAAGCTTGTAAGGCTAAAAGTTGTCCCATGTTTCTGGGCTCTTTAATGATGTAGTAAAACAGTACAACAGTAATGATTGGGGAGGTGAAATGGCATATATTAAAAATAATATTAACATGAAATATACATTCTGGTCAAGGTGCCAAAAATTAGACATTGAAAGACCAACTTTTCCATGAGGGCTCTTTCATAAAATATCAATTATTACATTATTTTGTTAGAATTTTGGAAATAGGTAATGATTTTGCTTTCAGTTTGATATTATGAGGAAAATAATAACTCCATCACAATTATATTTTTGGCTTATTTTTAAGAGTTTCTACTTGTAACATTTTTATTTCTGTGAAGGAACTTTTCCCCCTCTGTATCTCTCTCTGTCACCCCCTCCAAGCGCATGCTCACACACAGAGACACCCCTCCCTGCTCCACTGCATAATGCCCAGTTGTATATTAGGTGGGCTAATCCTTTTGAAACACAAAAGTTGCACATAACATGACAATTCCAATAATGATTATTTTTAAAAGTTACTCTTAGTTTTCTCTATCTCTGCTTCTCTTCCTGAGCTTTGAATTTCTTCTCATTTAATACCTAAGATCCTGAATATCAGCATCATAAAATGTGGAGGATTTAAAGACTGTGGGAGGCTCCCTTTGAAAAGGGCTCCAGAGATGGTCTTTCTAATCCAGGATACTTGAGCCGGATGGGATGACATTGCAAAAGGGATGTAAAAAAGCAATTTGGTGAACAACTTCAGGGAAATAAACATGAAGAAAGACGTTTACTTTTCCCCGTGTGTTGGGCAGACATATGTTGGTTTGGAAGAGAACAGGAATGGCAGTGTAAATAAATAAACAAGCCCAGTGAGAAACTGCAGTTATTGAACCATCCCAGAAAAGGAGAGCGAGCTGCAGAGGACAGGAGAAGCTTGTCAAGGACTAAACACTATTCAGAGGAAACATAAGGAAAACATTAAATAAACTGCGAGTGTATTCTTTCTCTCTTGACGCTATGCTTTAGAATAACTTTTTCCTGATCCATGTTACTGTACTATTAAATGTGTTTACTTGCCTGGCTGAGTCTTGGATTCCCTCAACTGTTTTAGCAGCTTGTGGAAACCATGCCATAACCTATTTTGTGCAACATAGTACCATTTATTTATCAAGAAAACAAAACGGCACACAAGCACTGTAGCTGGAAGTATATTCCAGGGTCCAAGCTGAAAGCAAGTTAGAAATTATAGTCTCAGCATAGAGACCATTATTTATTATTTTTCTCTAAAAAAACACTGAAGTCCCAGAGAGTTTGAGTAACTAGGAGAAGTGTAAGCAACTCAGAAAACAGAATAGGCCAGGAAACAGAATAGCTTTAGATAGAAGTAGGGAGTTAAACACATCCAGACTAGTCACTGCAACTTCTCATCTCTCCTCTCCCACCTCCCCCAGTCAGGCAGTGACAGCAGTAACAAGTTATTTTTATCCATTGCAGCAGTGGCACTTTAAGGAAAGAAAATGATTGTCATATTGTTGAATCCATACTGCAAATATGTTGAAGGGGGTGTGCTCCAGAAAGAGAGAGCAAGCCCAATAGTTTGGAATGGGATAGAACTAGTAGTGATGAGAGATGTTTGGCAAAGTTTGGGCTGACATCAGTCATTATACCACAAAGCTCACATGCAGATTCTGAAATGCTCAGCTCCCCAGTTGCTCAGTTCTAGAGGCATCTGGGTGTCTAAGTTAAACTGTATTCTTGATGGGGTTCATGTAACTGATGCAGCTAGAAGTCATCCCTGAAATACAAAGCAAACAGTATTGAAAAGCCAAAAAAGTGAATGGATAAAGGACTGCTACTATTTTGAGAGAGAGAGAGACAGAAATGTTATAAGTGTGATTATATGGCTATATTGATGTTGCTGTTGTGTGCTGTTGAGTCGCCTGTGACTCATAGAGATTCTGTGTACAACAGCCCTAAACCTTGCTCTCTCCTGTACCAATCTTATTGTCTCTGACACACCTATGCATCAGAGATCTGGACAATGACTCGGAATGATAGAAAGAGAATTGATGTCTTTGAGCTGTGGTTCTGGAGAAGAGTATTGAATATACCGTGGACTGCTAAGAGAACAAACAGATTCATCCTAGAGAGGGTGAAGCCAGGCTGCTCCTTGGAGGCAAGTATTCTGAAGCTTTGTCTGACATACTTTGGACATGTTGCAAGGCAGGACCAGTCCTTGGAGAGGAACGTCATGCTTGGAAGGGCGGAGAGACAATGCAAGAGAGGAAGACCCTTGATGAGATGGATATGGCTATGTAGCATTAGGAAAATGAGAGAATCAAGACACCTGATGGATTATTTTCTGTCAACAAGAAAGAATGTCCTAGATGAAGTTATGAACTTATACACTGTGGTGTGTATTATATTGTGTGCTATTCTTTAAAACTTCTTCTATTTCTCCTCATAAACCAGTTAAGTATTAAAATTTTTAAAGTAAAAAATATAAAAAGTTGAGGCCTCAGAAAATTTTATTTGACTATAGAGCTTTGGTAAAAGCAGGAGAGCGGCATCCACTTCTGAAATGGCTTGCCTTCGTTCATAGGGTCGCTATGAGTCATCTACAATGTGACAACACCTAACAAAAACAACAACATAGAGCTTTGGTAGCCTACTGGGTAAGGAGTTACACTGCTAAACTCAAAGACATATTGTTCAAATCCACCAGCTGCTCTGTAGGAGAAAGATGGGAAGTCATCTCTTGTGTGTTTTACAATCTCTGAAAACATGCTGAAAGTCAACTATATCTCAGTTCTGACTCCACCTCAGTAATGCCTTTGACTGATGTGGATATAGCTTTAGTATCAAGAGGTTCTGTTGTACAGTAGGAAGGGTGTTTTGTTGCTAGGAATCAAAAGCTTAAGGCAAGTACTTTATAT